GTGCTGGGGCGGCAGGGGGTGCGGGTGGGGGTGGCACTGGTGGGCTGGGGGGGGCAGCCAAAAATTTTTTTGCTTGGGGCGGCAAAAAACCTAGAGCCGGCCCTGTTTGGAAAGTTCCAGTGGTGCCACATTCCCAGGCTCAGCGGAGTGGGGTTTATTCAGGCGCTGGGTGATCTCTGCCCCACAGCCCCGCCCGGACTCTGAATGGCCGATTTCCATATCCCAGCCTCCATCTCTCTGTGCCTTAGTCTCCCCTCTCTGAACCAGGGGCTGGGATAGTTCCCAGCCTCCTGGCGGCATTGTGTGGATAAAGGCAATAACCGCTTGTGAAGGGAGGAGACGCCCCGGTGAGGGGCCCCACATCGGTTATAATGAACTAATCACCTTCTGCTGCATTAGTGCAATAAACGTCCCAGTTTGCTGAAAGGGCCAGAGCCTCCCTGGTGTAAATCAGGAGTAACTCGAGTCTAGCGGAAGCAGTTGCGTTGACTTTACAGTACTGGAGGGTTTGGACCCAGGAGCAATTTGCTCCATCCGTTGGGTCTGATGCAAACCCCAATGCGCTTGTCCCCTTTACACTGACAGACGCTGTCCTGTGAGTCTGACACAGAGACGGGCCCGGGAGAGCCAACGTGCCAGCTCTGCGAGGGGAGAGCAACTCAGAACAGGACTCACTCCGATTGGAGTTCACAGATGAAGCGAGCGATCTCTTCACCCAGCGGGGCTCTGGGCAGGAAGGGGAGACAGGTTGCTGGGAATGGAAGGGTTAAAACTTATGGGATGTTTGTGTTACATTCACCCGGTTGCCGGGTCTCCTGTCCGAGCCAGAAGCGGTGTGTGTGTCACTGCTGCCCCCGCGCGGCTGCCGGGAGAAGGGCGATTCCGCAGCCTGGGTTTTTGTATGATCACAAATCGGTTTCGTGTCACTGTGTCTCTCGCACAGTAATAGCGGGCGGTGTCCTCGGGCTTCAGGCCGGTCATTTGCAGATACAGCTCACTCTTGGGATTATCCCTGGAGATGGTGAATCAGCCTTTCACTGAATCAAGGTAGCGTATGATACCCCCACCGTAGCTTATATCACCGACCCATTGTAGTCCCTTCCCAGGAGCTGTCGGACCCAGCTCATCCAGTAGCTGCTGAAGGTGAACCCGGAGGCTTTGCAGGAGAGGCGGAGAGAGTCTACGGGCTTTTTCACATCCCCTCCGGACTCCACCAGCTGGACCTGGGACCGGACACCTGAGAATAAAGACAGGCCATTAATATCGGTATAAAAACAGTGGTAACACAATATTCTTCTAACTCGGCCACTTATTCAAAGGAGGAAAATACCTTCCAAAGCTGCTACAGCGAAAATTACAAGGAGCAAAAATCCCATTTTCCCTGGTGTTGGGGGGGAAAGTTCTCCGGGGACTGGCTGGTCACTGCACAGACCCAGGGGCTGCGGATTGTGTCTCCGGGTGCAGCCTGGGCAGAGAGAGGCACCGATTTTAAATAGGAAACTGTCACCCCTATTTGCATATCCCCCTCCTTATGACACATAAAACCTCGTCACTTAAGGAGCCCAATTTACTTGCCTGGGGATTCCAAAAGTGGCACAGGGAAACGAGGAAGGATCATTCAGGGGGCAGGGCGCCCATCTGGGACCCCGCATGCCCAGGCTTGGTTCCCTGCCCTGTCCCAGACTTCCTGTGTCACTCGGGGGCAAGTTACCTGGGGCCGGATTTTTCTAAGTATTAACGCATCAAGTGGGATTTTCTATAGCACCACAGTGCCCAACTCTCAGAGGTGCACCTCAGTTCTCAGGCTGTGAAATGGGGATAACGGGACCTACCTGCCTCACCGGGGTGTAGAGTGGATAGATGCGATAAAAAGTATGAGGTGCTCAGATATGATGGTGACTGAGGGAGGGGGGACGTGTGTATCTAAGGCAAAAGAAATCTATGACTCTGGGTGTGATGCAAAGATCCCTGACATGAATGGAATGAGTACAGCCTCCCTTGCCTTCGTTTGGCCTTGGGCCATTCCCCAATGCCAACTGATGGATATTCCTTCCCATGAGAAAACAGCTGGTCGAGTGACATGATTAACCTGGAGGAAAATGTCTAGTATAAGGAAAGCATCTTGCATTAGTGTAGAGCCTGACGCAAAACCCTTCCCAACTCCATGGAAACCATCCTGTTTAGTGCAACATGAGCTGTGTCAGGCCCTGTGTTCATAACCCTGAGGCCGCAAAATTGTCAGTTGTTCCTTGAAATGTCAATTGTAAATGTCTTCAGCAGAGGCAATGGACTCATCACTAGAACAGAGCTAATTAGATGAAGAGGATGCTTCCTTCAGAGGATCAGCAGCTGTGATTGAAGCAGAAAACTCTCGGAGCGATCAGATTAGTAGAAGGGTCCTGGGCAGATTCATTGGTCTGGGTAAAATACCAAATCTGACTGATTATAACGAGACTATTGACGGGATTGAGCA